CAGACGCTTATGAATGTATTTGACAAAGTACCGGTGGTTGACAAGGAGGCTTTTGTGGCTCCCAGTGCGTCTATGACGGTAACGTTCAGGTCGGACGAGGCTCTTCATTTGGTATGTATGAGTCGCCATTGTGGTTACTTGAGGATGGTAATCTTGCCTAACATTTTCATTCCATCAGGATGGAGATGGGTTTGCTGGCTTTGTGCCATGGAATGTTAAAAGGTATGATCTTTCACAAAAATTTAGGACTTAGAAGATTTTAGGACTTAGAAGATGCAATGTGTAAGCAATTCATGTTTCCTCGGATGTTTCATAGATTCCATCCATAGATTGATTTCTGAAACCAAGGCACTGGATATCTGCTTGTTGGGTTTATTGACTGATAATTTTCAGTCAAGTTTCATGCTGACAAAGGTGTTGGCATCTTCATATGAAAATCTGTTGAGGATTGTGTCACACATAAAGATATTAACTTTATTCGCTTGTTTCCAAACTAGAGCTTTCTACAATCAAGAGTCCCAAAGAGAGCACGTGAATATATTCATTATGTTGAAAAAATGAAAGCAGGTTTTGCAGTAGTGATGTAAATACTCAGTAGTAGAAAGTAAATTGACATTACATTATTAACTGCAAGTCTGCAACAATTGAATCATTGAGACATGTTACTATGTTAGTCTTTGTGCTTAGCGCATACCGTTTGCTGTTTAGAATGAGACTCTAGCCGTCGTTCTTGGATTGTTCTCAATTTCTTAGAATAGTAGAAGTGGGGAATATATAAGAATTTGCTTGTGCTCATCACTCCTTTCTTAGGCCAGCCAAAGAAAGTATGCTCATCATACGTTTATCACCTATGATGTGAATATGTTTTCATAACAAAATTACGTACTAAAGAGAGAAGTTTAGCCAGCCTTCATGCTCATCATTGGGTTTTAGAAAATTTTGTTTTATCTTATTGATACTTAGATGGTTAATTCTCTATATCTCCATGTATACTAAGTTGATGATTCCAAATTCTTCTTTCTTTTCTGATGAATACGAATTGCTGTCAACAGGTGGTGTCAACAGCATTACTATTGGGTCTGGAACAAGTATATAAGATAATTCTTTTGTTCATGTTGCAAAATCTAATTTAAGTGGAACGGTTTTACAGACCATTATTTGGAATAATGTTACCGTGAGTGAGTGATGTAATTACCAATTTCAGCAATTATCCTGTGAGTCGTAGAATCTAGTTAATTAGTACCAGTTTAAACTGGACAGGTCACAGTGCTGTTTTACATTGATGTATTGTTGAGGATGAGGCATTTGTTGGCATGGGTGCATTCCTAGTGGAAGGAGTCTATGTTGAGAAATGGTTGCTGCTGGAGCTCTTGTAAGGCAAAATGCTAAGAACATTCTGCATTATAAAATACCCAGAACTGCTTGAGGGTTCAGTAATTCCATTGTACAGTTCTTCTCTTCAGGTTCAATGTCACTGAATATTGTGTTATTTACAGAGAACGGTTGCTTTTCAGTTCCAATAATTCTGGGGGAGAAGCCAGGCCACTGGTCTTAATGTGCACATTCAGGCTGTGAGGCATATGCTTATTCTCATCCTCTGAGTTTAGAAACTTGAGTTTGTGTTCTTCAGAATGATTAGAGTAGGAAAGATATCTGGATGTTGAACTTGAAGTCGTTCACAACTCTCCTGTAGTATGTGGGGGTTAACAATGGGGTTAGTCCCCTTGGTGTCGCTAAGAGTGGGTATGGTTCCGTTTTGCTTACAATTAAAATTAAATTATTAATTAATTAAAATTTTAGATTTTAAAATTTAATAATTATTAGTTAAATTGAAAAAAAAAAGTTTTATTGATTTCAATTGTATTTTTAAGAGTTATTATTTAAATCAATTTTCATTTTAATTAAAAAATTATTTTTATTTTTATTTTTATTTTGAATT